AGCATAGTACAGGCATTGGGATACAATATTTCGCATTCGTGAGTTGGGCGCAAAAATAGGTTCGTACTGCACGATCTTCCCGAGCACGTCGTCGCTGGTAGGCCCTCCCTCTTGCAGTAAAGACTTTGACTCGACGGAACAAGAAAGGACTTGGTCACTTGTTGCATTGCCATTACACAACTTCAGCATAATAAATTAATTGCAGCCTGAAGGGCCTGACGTCATAATTTTCGTTGCAGGAGGCACGTACCAGCTGGACTTCACACAGCCCTACCATCGAAGCATCATGCGCATGCTCGCCAAGGCAAGGTTGTCTTGTGAAGCCGTCCATGGTAAGAGCAGTGGCCGTGAGACCAGCAACAGCAATATCAGAGTACCTGCACACGGTACACCATGACCCCTCTCATCACAGAATCATCATCACCATGAACCATCATTATCACCGTCGTCATCATCATCATCGGCATCTGTGCTGCCGTCTCCACCATATTTGCACCGTCACCACCACCATCACCAGCACAGTATCACCGGCGTGCCCACTGGTCATCCATGCCCGCCAGAAATCAACTGTCGAGTTGGGACAATTAGGTGCAACCAAGTGCTCGGGTCCTATCCAAATTCGTCACTTTGGGCCCTGATTGCCTTGACCCCTGAACATTAAATGTAGGGGCCTTATTAATTGGAACAGTTTTTTTTTTTTTTTTTTNNGGGGGGGGGGCTCCTTGTGATAATTGCAGTGAAATTCACTGTATAGCATAAAACACCCCAAACCCCGTTCTAAATACTAAGGCCCCTGCCCCCATGAAAACTGTTCTTTTCTTATGAAGCCTTCAACATCCAAACCCAGAAGAAAACGACGAGCCTTTCATGAAACCCTTTTGGCGCTCTTAGTAGGGTTGTTTGAAGAAAAGCCGTAAAATAACATCCAAGCCGAGACAGCGGAGCGCCTGAATCTTCAAATCGCGGATGCGCTGACGCCTCTGGCCGGAGCCACGACGCTCCCGGAGCATCTCGACGTACGTTGATATGGCTTCGGGATTCAGGGCTTCGGGATTTCGGTGTTTAATACAGGGGCCTAAATAAT